TGGTGGTGGGGTTTCCGGGGAGGCAATGGTCGGAGGTTATGACGATTGTGGATTGATGAACTGACGAGGTGGCGGCGGTCACTGACGAGGGGTGGCAGCAATCACTGACGAGGGGCGGCATCAGTCATTAATGAGGGGCAGCGGCAGTCACTGATCGGAGCAACGACGGTCACTAATCTGAGCAGCGGTAGTCAATGGACGAGGCGGTGGCAGTCACAGGACGAGGACGGGGCACGGGCGGTGACCACGATGACATGGGCGGTGGCCACAGTGACACGGGCGGTGACCACAGTGACATGGGCGGTGGCCACAGTGACATGGGCGGTGGTCACAGTGACATGGGCGGTGGCCACAGTGAAAGAGACGGTGGCTACAGTGACACGGGCGGTGGCTACAGTGACACTGGCGGTGGCTACAATGACACCAGTGGTGTCGATAGTGATATTCGATAGTGACATTAAATTTGATCAGTGACATTAAAATCTGGTAATGACATGAATATGACTATTTTAGTCACATTTTATCCAAATGTAAAAGTGGTCACATTTTAGGAAATCAGATTTAATTTAGTAATATCGAAGGAATACCCCCTTTTACATATCATATTAAATGTGCATTTCTTTAATTTCATAATTATTCAAAAAGAAGTTGAAGAAAATCATTACTTAAAAAATTTAATCAATGTTTTAAAAAAAATGATACTAGTATGTAAATAATATGTTGAGTGTATTTTATTAATAATGGTAGAATGCATAGAAAAATGGTATTAAGAGACTATGTACAATTGTTTTCTTATCAATAGAGTTCATGTTTAAAGGAGTTATTTCAAAAATAATACTACATGCTAAAATAAAACTTATTTACAAAAATATAACTAATAATTAATATATTGTACTATCATGGTAACTTATGTTTAAAATTTGAACATAAGTTATTATGATTTTATTACTACTCTAGTCACTAATCATATTTTTGAAAATAATCTTTATTTTATTCATAAATATTTAATTATTTCAGGTTTAAATGTGCAGGAATGTTGATACCCAATAAATAAAGGGTTTTGCCATGAATATTACTACGTACTAAAAAATAGAGAATGGACAAAAAGTGAATTTTTATTTTAATTTCCAAAAACGTGACTAATAAGGAGTAAAGAGACCATTTCACCCTTACTAAATCAACTAACCCGCTACAGTGACCAATTCTACAGTGACTTTCACTCAGTGACCAATTGACACAGGGACTCCCGCTCAGTGACCAATTCCCCGGTGACTCTCATCCAGTGACCAATTCCCCGGTGACTCTCGTCCAGTGACCAATTCCCACAGTAACTCTCATCCAGTGATCATTGCCCCAATGATCATCGTTGATTGGTTACAGTTACACCCACCTAATATCTGTCAGTGACCTAATTTCCAACCTTCTCTACTGCCCCGACTAGTCACTACCACCGCCCGATCACAGTGACCACCGCCTTGGTCATAGTGACCAGCCCCAATCACACTAACCACCCATTCCAGTGACAACTCGACTACACAATGACTTGCCAGCCCCATGATTTACCCCACCCCTTCCCCACCGGTGACGCCACTACCCAACCCTGTTGGCCTCTTCCATAGCCACCCTCCCAAACCTTGCACACACCGCCCCAGTCATCTTCTAGTCATTGTCCCAACAATCTCCCCCAATCCCCACTCCCACCATCGCCTCCCCCTCCCCTGCCCGGCCTTACACCAACAGACCTTGCCCCTGACCCATCCACCGGACATTCCCAGCCCGTCAATGGGGTCGTTTGGATATAAGCTTTTTATCCAAACCGTCGATCCTTTTTACACATGAAACGCTGCATTTAGCAGCGGTTGGGGGGAGAAACCGCCGAAAGGCAAACGACCCCAATGCCCCCATTAGACCCGGTAAAAGACTTTCCCTCACACCACCATCGCCCTAGCCTATGTACACCAACCTTATCACCCAAGCACCCCGATGCCGCATCCCTAGGTCACCGCTAATCTACAATCTCTTTTGATGCTCGCACCACCCCGATCTGGGTCCGAAACCGGCGAAGAAGAGATCGAACCCTGTCATCATTGTTCGTCCTTGTTGTCATCATCAATGCCTCAAATAGAGTCGAATGCGGAAACTATTTTCAGTGATGGAGGAGAAGGCGATTGATGGCGACGTCAGGGTAGGGCAAGCAGCTATCAACAAAAGTGAAATGAGAAATTTCAGTTTGCAGAGAAGCAGAGGAGAAGGAAACAAGGAATGAGAAGAAGAGTTACGGCGATGGTGAAAGGGCGGCAGAGAAGAAATTGGTCGACGGTGTTGCTTGCGGCTGGAGGAAGATCAACGAGACTTGAGAGGAAGGTTGCGACTGGAGACGAGATACGAACAAGAAGGATGAATAGGGTTAGATTTATGTGAGGGCATTTCAGTCTACCAATTAATATTTGGTCTCTTTTTTGTCCTAATTTAAAAAGAGTCATATTTTTGTCTATTCCATAGCCATTAGTTATATACCGGGTTTAATACATCAAACCCCCTCGTGAAAGATAAATTCGGCTCATTAGTCTCCTGTGATTTAAAAAATGCATCAACCCCCATGTGTTATAATTAATCAAGCACAAACCCCCCTCCAAGAACAAATTTAATTTCCAAAAAATAAAAAATGATTAGTTTTTTTTGTATAATTTAGAACTTTTGACAAAGTTACATGCATATTCAACCATATTATTAAGAAAAGTGATTTTAAAATTGTAAAAATTGTTATTGAAAGGGATTTTGCGCATGACTAACTATAACACAAGGAATTTGACGCAGTTTTTAAATCATAGGATGCTAATGCGTCAAATTTATATTCAACGAGAGGTTGGTGCATTAAATCCGTTATATTCAGTAATTCAGGTCATTCTTTCATAAATAAATATTCCCATAACACCAAACTAATAAGTTTGAAATCTATATCATGAGGGAAGGTGGGTGTAGTCCAATGGATGACCATCCACCCCCAAGTCTCTCCTTTGTGGGAGGTTTTGGGTTCAATTCCCACCAAGGGAGATGAGGGAGGTCTTGTTCCCAATGATTCTCCCTACCTTCACGGAGCCGCTCAGCGGCTGAGAAAGGAGAAAATGGTAATGAAAGTAGCGGGTTCGTGTGGTGGGAGGAACAACCTGAAAGGTGATGTAAGTCCTGCTGGATTCGTCTTTTGGAGCCAGTACTGACGAGGCTAACTGTGATCAGATCCGGACTTAACTATCTAGGGGCTTTGGAAGATAGTTAATAGACTCCAGGATTATGAGAGCGTAAACCCGACACCTGAATTATAAAAAAAAATGAAATCTTTATCATGAGGTTTTGCACTTTTGCTCGCTGGCAGCCTCGTAATGATAAAGTCACATGTAAATGAAAATACGGTCTCTGCTATTTTTACTGGAAATAGTCAGATAACGTGAAGGCAATTACATGTACTCCGACGAGGATAGAAATAAGTGGCGATATGACAAAGGAATCTTATTTTAATTTTGCAAAAAAAAAAACATTTGTGGACGGTGTAAAAGTTTGTAAACGGTACAAGTGTGTTCACTCATGGTGCGCCCTGTTGTATGCAGCTTCGGTGGATTTTATTTTTTTATTTCTTTTATTGTTAAAAATTGTAATATCTTTTTTATTTGATATCCTATTTTTATAAATTTTATATCAAATTTTTTTATTTTTCATGATATATCAAATGAGACCAATATTGCTTATGTAATTTTAACAAATTATTTTGAAGTTGCATTTGATAATATATCATGAAGTTACATCTTCTTCTGCGCGAGTTACATCTTATTGTACACGAGTTACATCTTAATATACGCGAGTTACATCTTAATGTATGTGAGTTACACCACGAAATAAACCTCTGCTACATCTTTCATTTTTATCATTTGAAAAATAGTGTATGAATATGAAATACAATATACTTATTTTATGTGGATTAATAAAATTTTGTATTGAATTGGCAAAGAAAAAAATTAATTCTGTTATAATTGAATTAGTTCAAGATAAAGATAAGTAAAAAATCACAAATAATTAGATATAACTCACACATAATTACATGTAACTCGCGCATAAAAGTATGTAACTCGTGCATAACAAGATGTAACTCACACATAACAAGATGTAACCCACACATAATTACATACATGTAACTCGCGCATAAAAGTATGTAACTCGTGTATAACAAGATGTAACTCACACATAATAACAAAGGGTGCATGATGCTCACCATGCACCGATTCCACGGTATAAGCACTGCTTTATTACACATTTCTTCAAAATGTGATCAATCAAATTGCATTTAGTTAAACCAAGTAACTAACGCTTAAATTTAAAAGTATTCTTAAGTTAATTATTTCTAACAGTTGCATCTTTCTGATATTTAAAAATCAACTTTGATGACAAATTAGTCTTTCTCAAGAACAAATGTACTGTTTTTTTAAATGGGGAGAATAAATTAAATACCCCAAACTTTAATGGGGTGTGAGATGTGTACCCCAAACTTGCATATGTAATATACGATAGTATATACCCCAAACTTTATATAAAAAGTTATTTTGGTACCATGATTATATGTTTTTTACAAATACAAAATTATTGGAATAATTATATAATTTAAAGTACCTCAAGCCTTGTTAGGATGCAATTAACATTCTAAAATTTCATTTGTTAAATAAATAATATTACATCCGGTACAATTTAATTTTAATTACATCCTCATAAATGTTTTGTGTATTTAAAATTATGTACTTAACATCATAAAATTACATCTACGAAAAAATATATGGTCACGGAGTTAACATAACTTTTTATATAAAGTTTGGGGTATATATATTACATGTGCAAGTTTGGGCACTTACGTCACACTCCTTCAAAGTTTGGGATGTTTAAATTTTTTTTTTTAATTGAGTATAAGCATTTGGCATACGAATAATTACTATTTGTTTCAAATATTGAATGAAGACAAAACATAAGGTGAAAAATAGAGATAATTATGGTATTTATGTCTTCCTAGTTCATTTATATTTGACAAAAAAGTGGAGCAAGTAATAAGAAATTTCCTTTAAAAGAACAGCTTTGGTGGTTCACATTTACAAAGTGATGCAAAACAGAACCTCTATTCCCACGGAGCAGTTGTCATAACCTTAGGTAAAGATCTGGAACTGAGAAGTCACTCGGCCCTTATAATGTAACCTGAGATGTGAACTCGAGAGGGGTTAAGTTTGAATGCATAACAATTAATAAACAGGTCATCAAGGGTTTGTTAGGTTCGAGGATTTCAGATGGGGGAGCTGGGAGGGGGGTGATAGTAACTTTAAAATTATTTTGGAATTTAGGTTGGAAATAAATGCATGATATAACCAATCAAATATCAAACTAATCATGTAGTGATATAGTTACTTCTACTCTAAGTCTAAAACTAACAAATTATACATGATTAGTAAAAAAAATCACTCACCCCTCCCCCTTCATCCCAAATATCCGAACCAAAGAAGTCTTAAATGCATATATAAGGTGTTTTAAATCTCTTACCAGTGATGGTTCCTTGAAATTCTGATGCATATACCGATATAACCTCCTTAAATAACTAATATTTTATACTGATGAATAAAATAATATATTTTATTAGGAGCCTGGCTAGAATTCTTGACGAATGCTCTGTAAAATTTTCAGTCCTTCCATCTCTTCCCCACAAGCAACTCCAGGATCGATAAAGCACAACTGACAAAGAAATATGTTGAAGTTTTTAGATTCTATTCAGACTTTTCGAGAACTCCCCAGACAAGCAAACTATGTTTTGTACCTGATACAATGGCTTCTTCAGTGTGTGGACACCTCTTTTTATTAGCCTTTGCCATCCATCATCGTCTCTAAGAGATTTTTCAAGAGCTTTGGTTCTCTGGCAGTTATGATCAGATATATTTTGGTTCAGTTAAAGGTAATTGTCGGATGATATGACTGAAATTACTTCATAATTTCTATAGACTATAATAATGCATATCGAGAGAGAGAAATAATGGACCTAAACCACAAATAAGAAACATAAGCCTTAACCTAGTAGGGACACAGAAACTATGTCACTACTAAAATTATGAAAACTATATCACGGAGTACTTCTTATATACTTCAACTGTGATGTCTACAATTCAAAAGACAAGGCAACTAGATGTTTTGGGAAAGTCCAATAACTCTTGACTGTGAAGAATATAACCTAATCCTGCATGTTTTGATTTTAAACGCTGTCATAATTGCAAGTAAACTAATTCACTTAGCAAATACCATATGGTAGTCACTGAAAAACTTGCACTTCGACAAGGTATTAACATACTTACATGGCCGGGGTCTAAGATCAAAAGATTGTATTGCTTTGAGCCATTCCTCTGACATTTCTTTTGAATCCCAACAATTGTTCTTGAGTGACCATGATGTTGGAAGTACAGCGGCCTGTAGAATAAGATCAAGTTTGGTGAGCTCAGACAGGTTGATTCCGCTAATAATAATTTGCAGCCAAAAGATCAGCCAGGCCCTTGCTTTTTTGGCTGATATGGCATATTTTAGTTTATTTCAGCAATTTCAACAACCAAGAAACCAGCTCTAAATTGAGTGACACTACAAATATATAAAACTAAAAACACAAGCATACGCTTCCTAGTAGCCATTGAAGTTTTCCATGAGATCATGACAGTATTTTGAAATTCACTTACGATTTTTGACTGACAATTACATGTCTGTTTTCAGATGTTGAACACTTAGGGTCAGAAAAGTAATTCCACACCCAATCAATGAGAGCTTCCTGACCCTTAACATTTGTGTCGTGGGTAAAGGATACCTCCTGGTGAACATTTGTTTTCCACATGGAGACATATTTGTCCATAGGTCCATAAACCTTTGGCCCAATTGTCTTACTACAGAAGTCGACTATTCGTGCTCGAAGACCAAAAGACCGGAAGAGGGTGGCACATTCAGTAGTTCCAATCCAAATTCTCTTTCCATAGATTTTTTTATCAAAGTCTTTTGAACCAGTTTCATCAAAGCCTTGTTCCCATGCAATTTCAAGCCATCTTTGGAGTGAAGGGATATCAGGCACGAAACCCAAACCACCAAAGAGAGTGTTCCTTGCTTCTTGCCTTTGATTGAGCAAATGAGAGCTAATCATCTGAATATTTCGCCATCCACATCCCCATCCGACATCTTCTGATGTGATGCTCTCAAAATGATCCACATACCCACACAACAGGCTAACCCAGTTTTCGGGTTCTAGTTCCAAACGGTTTCTCAACAAGTTCATCAAGCCTTCTTCTAAAATGTAGAAAGATGCCTTGATCTGTAGATTAACTAAACACTTTATTTGCTCACCCACGTCTCTCTCTTTTGAATCTTGAGCATCCACACAGACCACACGAGATCCTGAAGAACTGCTCTCAGGGCATTCCCAATCACCAATGTTACATACACTTGCATGTCTAACCTGAATAATGAATCATATTCTATAGTTTGCTGTTTAGTATAGATACTGCTGCCAAGTATTAAAAACTAGAAGTAATAATTGATTGCCAAGTATTAAAAACTAAAAGTAATACTACGTAATTGAAATAAGATCAAGAAATAGCAATTTCAAAGTCTGATCATGTTAGTCATTGTTTTCCCTTTAGCTCCAACATCATTCAAAGCTTGGTAGCCTTAACATTAAATAGTATACAATCAGCTTAAGCATTGAATAGTACTCCCTCCGTATCTATTTAGTTGTCTCACTTTTCTTTTTGGGACGTATCAAATTAATTGTCTCATTTCCCTTTTTGGAAAGAAACTCACTCCAAAAGCAGCTACAGTACCAAAACCTCTTACTTTTCATATAATCTACAGTAATTATCTTAACCTACGTAAAAAAGCAAACGGGCCAAATAAATAGATATGGAGGGAGTACTACGTAATATTCACAGTGGTGGATCCAATAATTGGAAGTGGGGTTGACTAAGACGTAAAAAAAATCACAGCAGTATAATATATAGTGCACCTGATAGTGTTTTCCCCACATTTTTTAATAAAAAATAAAAATGTTTAGATTTATTTAGAGAGGAAATCAAATCAATCACTTTATCTAATACATTTTCTTTCTTAAAAGAAAATGCAAATTCTTTTGACGATCCAATAAGTAAAAACAAACATTTTGAGACCGATGGTAAGTATAGACACATACAAAGATAAACATACTTCCTCCCTCCCAAAATTGACTTTGCACTTTCTTTAGTTTGAAATGGCTCAAACTTAAGTCCACATTTCCTTTTTGGTAATATTTATGTAGTAAATGACCTTCTTAGGGTCTTACCCTCATAAGTAATGCAGCATTTATGGGTTTGTTGAAAGTGCAAACACTTTACTAAATGGAATGAACTTAACTTTTAACTTTCAGAATTTATCCTTTTACCTATTGTTTCAGCTTTTTATTTTTCACACTACATTTTCTTACTTGAGGTTGCAATCGTAAAACAAGAATTATACTCCGTATCTTTTATTTCTAAAAATCTGATTCAAATCTAATTGACAAATGTCTTCACCGTTTACTCACCCAGAGATCCGCCACAACCCAGAAAGGGCCGAAAGAGAATATGTAACACGTTTACTCGCGGAGTACCTGGGGAACGGAAGGAGCGAGAGCGATGTCTCGTCCCAACTCGATGCCATTAAAGCTGTCTTCATCGTCGAAGTGACTGTTCGCGTGTCTGAAAAATCAGTTGTAAATAACTTTTCTTTTGAAAACTAAAAAGAATCGCGCATTAGGTCTAAAGCTACGTGATCAAACGCGCACATGAATGATACAGCTGATCGAATCGGACAATGATAAAAGCGAGGAAATGGAAGTAGTATACCGTTGTAGTTCGACCGAAAGCACTCTCAGATGGCAGAAGGGGCAAATCGTGATGTCCATGGGCCTAGGAAAACTATGCAGTTGGAAACACGGAGCTTTGAAAAACTGGTAGTGAAAATGGCAGGGTGGAATTGAATTACTTAGGCTTGGTCAGGAAAGGGGCGGTAGACTTTATACACTGTGTTTGTCACTTGGTCTAATTTTTCCACCACTCGATCAACTGAGGTACTCGTGCGGGTATGAATTATTTAGGCTATGTTTGCTTTTGAATGTGCTTTTCTGTTTAAAAGATTATTCGATTTATACTAAAAGTAGATAGTGTTTGTAAAGAGATGTGATTTTAATTAAAATGTAAAAATTGAAGTGTTTGATAAAAAAATGAATTGTGATATAATATATGAGTGAAAGTACAAAAATACCATTTGAATAGATGTACAAAAACTTTTACAAAAAGTCTTACAAAAAGAGTATGTGGCATCATCACATTATTTAACGCATCACATCACATTTATAACACTTTTACATCAATGGTAATTACAATAGCCACATCACTTATTTGTAAGTTTTTTTGTAAGTGTGTTTGTACTTCTAGCATTTCTCTATCTATTTTCCTGGACGCCAAGGATTTCAAGCTTCAACAGTTGCTTTTAGTAAGATCAGGCAAACGATCTCAAAAAACCACATCCAAACAAAATTGGATTTAACAAAATTCTCAAAATCAGGTGCTTTGTACTCATGTTTTTGAACATGTATGAGTGTATGACAAAATTAAATTCGAGTAGATTAAATGAGGAGGATAAAATTAGTGAACTCAGGTTTGTTGGTGTTGGCGTGTGTAACAGGCGAAGAACTCGACTGTTAAAATAATCCGTTAACAAGAGCCTAAATCCATTGTTAATAGATTGTAAGAAATTGAAAGGGTTAAGAAGATTGATTATGAACTGATCTGCTCTCTTATTAATGATGAAGTCCTTTATTTATACACAGCAGTAGCTAGTTTAAGCTAACCGGATGCTAACAACCTTCTAACTGACATGAGCAATAATGGTCACTTAACTAACAACTAACTAGCTACTTATTACAAGTCAAAGACACCCCCCCCATAAAAGAATTTGACTTGTCCTCAAGTTAGCCAATCATCCATTGATATCAAAATCCGGATATTGATCCTTGAATGCCTGAGCAGATTCCCAAGAAGCCTCCTGAGCTGCAAACTCTTTCCACTGCACTAAAAGTTGCACTTGCACCTTATTCTGGAAGTTAGCACTTCTTCTGCCCAATATCTTCTCAGGTTGAGGTACCCATTCTGCCGGTTGCCCCTTAAACCAAGCTGGAATATGAGTATTGAGTAGCCATAGGTAGCTCACCTCTAAATTGCTTAAGCTGTGAACAATGAAATACATCATGTATTTGTGAATCTACAAGCAATTTCAACTTATAGGCTACCTTCCCTATCACTTCTTTAATCTGAAATGGACCAAAGAACTTAGATGCCAGTTTGTGATTAGTCCTGAGCTGCACAGAATGTTGCCTATAAGGTTGTAATTTAAGCCACATCCAATAACCTATAGAAAACACTCTTTCACATCTCTTTTGTCTGCCAATTGTTTCATCCTTGATTGAGCTTTGCAAAGATTTTCCTTAAGCTTCTTGATCATTTCTTCCCTTCTTTTCATTGATGTATCAACAACCTCTACCTTGGATTCTCCTGGCAAATAAGGTAGGTACAATGGAGGAGGTTGATTATAAATGATGGTCCCATTTTAGATATTTTATTTATTTTATTATATGATGGTATGTAATTATAATATATTATATTGTAGCTTTAACAATATAGGACAAAATGAAAAAAACAATCTCAATTATTGTCGGCCCGTCGTTAATAATCCAACTATCGATTATTTCATGATAGTCCCAACTATATTTACCATTTTTCAAAAATAGACTCTAACCAGTTACAACCCGATATAGCAAGTCAATTTTAAATGTGAACTATCTGTGAGTTTTAAATAATCCCAATTATATCCTTCAAATGGGCGGGAATTTTGCCTCCAAAAAGTGTAGCAACTTTGCTACTTTATATAATATAAAGATTTATTTCCAATTATATCCTTCAAATGGGCGGGAATTTTGCCTCCAAAAAGTGTAGCAACTTTGCTACTTTATATAATATAAAGATTATCAGGAGATAAAGAAAAATGATAGTTGTACATTTTATTTCGTATAAGCCAATATCATTCAAATTTGCTACTTCCCCTATATATACTTGTGCGATTTTTAATTTTTAATGACAGTAATGAGCATCTATTAGTAATTGGCTGCCGTCCATATATACTTATTTTTTATTGAACATTTATTTCCAATTATATCCTTCAAATGGGTGGGAATTTTGCCTCCAAAAAGTGTAGCAACTTTGCTGCTTTATATAATATAAAGATGATGATGATAATAATAATAATAATATTATTATTATTATTATTATTATTATTATTAAAAAATAGTACAGTTTAAGAGCCCGTTTGGTAATCCAAATATTCATTTTATCAATCAACTTTTTTACCAAAAACATTATTGATTTCGCGCGTTAAATTGTGTAATAATAAAAAACTTAGCAGGATGCAAATTCAATCTAATATCTAAAATGAGGTCCTAAATATAATTTTGTAATACTCGGCCAAAAAAATCTAATTTTGTAATACAATATCATTTTTCAAATTTGTATTAGAAAGTACTACTTCCGTTGGGACCAGCCTGTTATGATATACTCCCTCTGTCCCGAAATGAAGACCTCGATTTGACCTACACACATATTTATGTAAGAATGTAAGATAAAGTTTTGTTTTGAGTTTTCATGTACCTTGCTTTATGTCAAATCAAAAAAATAGGTAGAAGTAAGAGTAGTTGTAATTTATTGGTTAAAAGTAGTTTCCTTTTATAGAAATGAGAACTTCTTTTAGGGACATCCATAAAAGAAAAGTGAGAACTTTTTTTCGGAACGGGGTAGTACTATTGTATAATTTATATTATTATCAGGAGATGAAGAAAAATGCTAGTTGTACATTTTATTTCGTATATGCCGAGAATTAATAGTCCGCCACCATCGTTGGAGCTTAATGCAGCGCAAAAGACATCATCTTCATTGGAGGTGCGACTAACCATCACTGGAGTAGATCCGTCTCCTTCTTGAATTGTGTAATAATAAAAAACTTAGCAGGATGCAAATTCAATCTAATATCTAAAATGAGGTCCTAAATCTAATTTTGTAATACTCGGCCAAAAAAATCTAATTTTGTAATACAATATCATTTTTCAAATTTGTATCAGAAAGTACTACTTCCGTTGGGACCAGCCTGTTATGATATACTCCCTCTGTCCCGAAATGAAGACCTCGGTTTGACCTACACACATATTTATGTAAGAATGTAAGATAAAGTTTTGTTTTGAGTTTTCATGTACCTTGCTTTATGTCAAATAAAAAAAAAAATAGGTAGAAGTAAGAGTAGTTGTGATTTATTGGTTAAAAGTAGTTTCCTTTTATAGAAATGAGATCTTCTTTTAGGAACATCCATAAAAGAAAAGTGAGAACTTTTTTTCAGGACGGGGTAGTACTATTGTATAATTTATATTATTATCAGGAGATGAAGAAAAATGCTAAAATTCTCCCGCCTAAGCATTTTCCGCCTAAAATCCTAAAATATAATTTCACTTTCCGCAAAAAAAAAAAATAACATACCTAAAAGCACTACACCGGTGAGAGAAAATTCTCTTCAAAGTTAGACGAAGTACCCGTGCGATGCACGGGGTACATCTATAATAGAAAAACGACTTTTTAGATATTTTATTTATTTTATTATATGATGGTATGCAATTATAATATATTAAATTGTAGCTTTAACAATATAGGACAAAATGAAAAAACAATCTCAATTATTGTCGGTCCGTTGTTAATAATCCCAACTATCGATTATTTCATGATAATCCCAACTATATTTACCATTTTTCAAAAATAGACTCTAACCAGTTACAACCCGATATAGCAAGTCAATTTTAAATGTGAACTATCTGTGAGTTTTAAATAAGCCCAATTATATCCTTCAAATGGACGGGAATTTTGCCTCCAAAAAGTGTAGCAACTTTGCTATTTTATATAATATAAAGATTTATTTCCAATTATATCCTTCAAATGGGCGGGAATTTTGCCTCCAAAAAGTGTAGCAACTTTGCTACTTTATATAATATAAAGATTATCAGGAGATAAAGAAAAATGCTAGTTGTACATTTTATTTCGTATAAGCCAATATCAGTCAAATTTGCTACTTCCCCTATATATACTTGTGCGGTTTTTAATTTTTAATGACAGTAATGAGCATCTATTAGTAATTGGCTGCCGTCCATATATACTTATTTTTTATTGAACATTTCTTTCCAATTATATCCTTCAAATGGGCGGGAATTTTGCCTCCAAAAAGTGTAGCAACTTTGCTGCTTTATAAAATATAAAGATGATGATGATGATAATAATAATAATAATAATAATAATAATATTATTAAAAAATAGTACAGTTTAAGAGCCCGTTTGGTAATCCAAATATTCATTTTATCGATCAACTTTTTTACCAAAAACATTATTGATTTCGCGTGTTAAATTGTGTAATAATAAAAAACTTAGCAGGATGCAAATTCAATCTAATATCTAAAATGAGGTCCTAAATATAATTTTGTAATACTCGGCCAAAAAAATCTAATTCTGTAATACAATATCATTTTTCAAATTTGTATTAGAAAGTACTACTTCCGTTGGGACCAGCCTGTTATGATATACTCTCTCTGTCCCGAAATGAAGATCTCGGTTTGACCTACACACATATTTATGTAAGAATGTAAGATAAAGTTTTGTTTTGAGTTTTCATGTACCTTGCTTTATGTCAAATCAAAAAAATAGGTAGAAGTAAGAGTAGTTGTGATTTATTGGTTAAAAGTAGTTTCCTTTTATAGAAATGAGAACTTCTTTTAGGGACATCCATAAAAGAAAAGTGAGAACTTTTTTTCGGGACGGGGTAGTACTATTGTATAATTTATATTATTATCAGGAGATGAAGAAAAATGCTAGTTGTACATTTTATTTCGTATATGCCGAGTATTAATAGTCCGCCACCATCGCTGGAGCTTAATGCAGCGCAAAAGACATCACCTTAATTGGAGGTGCGACTAACCATCATTGGAGTAGATCCGTCTCCTTTTTGAATTGTGTAATAATAAAAAACTTAGCAGGATGCAAATTCAATCTAATATCTAAAATGATGTCCTAAATCTAATTTTGTAATACTCGGCCAAAAAAATCTAATTTTGTAATACAATATCATTTTTCAAATTTGTATCAGAAAGTACTACTTCCGTTGGGACCAGCCTGTTATGATATACTCCCTCTGTCCCGAAATGAAGACCTCGGTTTGACCTACACACATATTTATGTAAGAATGTAAGATAAAGTTTTGTTTTGAGTTTTCATGTACCTTGCTTTATGTCAAATCAAAAAAATAGGTAGAAGTAAGAGTAGTTGTGATTTATTGGTTAAAAGTAGTTTCCTTTTATAGAAATGAGAACTTCTTTTAGGAACATCCATAAAAGAAAAGTGAGAACTTTTTTTCGGGACGGGGTAGTACTATTGTATAATTTATATTATTATCAGGAGATGAAGAAAAATGCTAAAATTCTCCAGCCTAAGCATTTTCCGCCTAAAATCCTAAAATGTAATTTCACTTTCCGCAAAAAAAAATAACATACCTAAAAGCACTACACTGGTGAGAGAAAATTCTCTTCAAAGTTAGACGAAATACTCGTGCGATGCACGGGGTACATCTATAATAGAAAAACGACTTTTTAGATATTTTATTTATTTTATTATATGATGATATGCAATTATAATATATTATATTGTAGCTTTAACAATATAGGACAAAATGAAAAAAACAATCTCAATTATTGTCGGTCCGTCGTTAATAATCCCAACTATCGATTATTTCATGATAATCCCAACTATATTTACCATTTTTCAAAAATAGACTCTAACCAGTTACAACCCGATATAGCAAGTCAATTTTAAATGTGAACTATATGTGAGTTTTAAATAATCCCAATTATATCCTTCAAATGGGCGGGAATTTTGCCTCCAAAAAGTGTAGCAACTTTGCTACTTTATATAATATAAAGATTTATTTCCAATTATATCCTTCAAATGGGCGGGAATTTTGCCTCCAAAAAGTGTAGCAACTTTGCTACTTTATATAATATAAAGATTATCAGGAGATAAAGAAAAATGCTAGTTGTACATTTTATTTCGTATAAGCCAATATCAGTCAAATTTGCTACTTCCCCTATATATACTTGTGCGGTTTTTAATTTTTAATGACAGTAATGAGCAACTATTAGTAATTGGCTGCCGTCCATATATACTTATTTTTTATTGAACATTTATTTCCAATTATATTCTTCAAATGGGCGGGAATTTTGCCTCCAAAAAGTGTAGCAACTTTGCTGCTTTATATAATATAAAGATGATGATGATGATGATGATAATAATAATAATAATAATAATAATAATAATATTATTATTAAAAAATAGTACAATTTAAGAGCCCGTTTGGTAATCCAAATATTCATTTTATCGATCAACTTTTTTTACCAAAAACATTATTGATTTCGCACGTTAAATTGTGTAATAATAAAAAACTTAGCAGGATGCAAATTCAATCTAATATCTAAAATGAGGTCCTAAATATAATTTTGTAATACTCGGCCAAAAAAATCTAATTCTGTAATACAATATCATTTTTCAAATTTGTATTAGAAAGTACTACTTCCGTTGGGACCAGCCTGTTATGATATACTCCCTCTGTCCCGAAATGAAGATCTCAGTTTGACCTACACACATATTTATGTAAGAATGTAAGATAAAGTTTTGTTTTGAGTTTTCATGTACCTTGCTTTATGTCAAATCAAAAAATAGGTAGAAGTAAGAGTAGTTGTGATTTATTGGTTAAAAGTAGTTTCCTTTTATAGAAATGAGAACTTCTTTTAGGGACATCCATAAAAGAAAAGTGAGAACTTTTTTTCAGGACGGGAAAGTACTATTGTATAATTTATATTATTATCAGGAGATGAAGAAAAATGCTAGTTGTACATTTTATTTCGTATATGCCGAGTTTTAATAGTCCGCTACCATCGCTGGAGCTTAATGCAGCGTAAAAGACATCATCTTCATTGGAGGTGCGACTAACCATCACTGGAGTAGATCCGTCTCCTTCTTGAATTGTGTAATAATATAAAACTCAGCAGGATGCAAATTCAATCTAATATCTAAAATGAGGTCCTAAATCTAATTTTGTAATACTCGGCCAAAAAAATCTAATTTTGTAATACAATATCATTTTTCAAATTTGTATCAGAAAGTACTACTTCCGTTGGGACCAGCCTGTTATGATATACTACCTCTGTCCCGAAATGAAGACCTCGGTTTGACCTACACACATATTTAAAATCAATCACTGTTTTGTCTAAATTATTATAAAATGGTCACTCTTTTGTCCTTTTGAAAACTTATACCGCTGTACACGGTATATCTGTCGTTTGTCTATTTCTTACTCCCTTCGTCTCAAGAAATAATTCATAATTTTACTTGACACATTAATTTAAAAAGTGAGAATAAAGTGGAAATGTATGATTATAGTTAAATAAAAATAAAATAAATAAATGCAAACAAAACAAAACTTTTCAAAAGAGAAATGAAAATGGGGGGAGTTCGTATACCATAGGACCGGCCCAGTATGAGCATGCTACACCCGCATCTATACGACGTCGTTCTATTAATTAAAAAAACGCGCACAACGGCCTTCTCGAAAGCGGCGCGTCTTTTCTTCCCATAGCTGCGTCTTTTGACATTGGCTATTTACATTTCTCGAAAAACTTTCTGACTTCACGCTTCCATCAAGTTCCATCAGACAGAGTTCCACCATTCGAAGTGCATTCTGAAGAAGGAAAAGTAAGAATCCGAACGAAGAAGAACGTTTTGCAGGTCGAGAAAATGACGAGGTCTAAAGGCAAAACAGTTGCAAGGTATTTCATCCGAACGAACTATGTACTTTGCTTTTTGAAGTTCAAAATGTATCTCTGAGAATGTAACAATATGATTCATGTGCTAATTTGCTATAAATTTTAACATGCATGTAAGTCACTCTAAAAAACGAAAGAGATTGAGTATTGAATAGTGTGATTTATGTCTTATTGTGATCTCAATTTGAATAAGCAAAGTGCGAATGCTCATATGTCATCGAGCATAATAAGGAATTTGTCGATGTAACTACAATTTTTGGTAATATAGTGTTGCATACCTCAATATGTTTGTTATGCCTTAGTTTGTCATTGATTTTTTTTGTGATATAGTGTTGCATGTCACTGAAACTAATACTAGATTAACTTTATTAATTTTATGTAACTTGTGTATAATAATACATAAATCCTCTGCCTTGGTCTGTGACTGTAAGCAAGTCCACATGACATTGTTCATCTGATTGTGAATGATGTGACTTCTTCTCAATTTTATGTAAATTGTGTGTAAAAAGATGTAACTCATGTGCTCCACATGACATTGTTCATCTGATTGTGAATGATGTAACTTCTTTTCACTATTATGTAAATTGTGTGTCAAAAGATGTAACTCATGTGCTCCACATGACATTGTTCATCTGATTGTGAATGATGTAACTTCTTTTCACTTTTATGTAAATTGTGTGTAAAAAGATGTAACTCATGTGCTCCACATGACATTGTTCATCTGATTGTGAATGATGTAACTTCTTTTCACTATTATGTAAATTGTGTGTCAAAAGATGTAACTCATGTGCTCCACATGACATTGTTCATCTGATTGTGAATGATGTAACTTCTTTTCACTTTTATGTAAATTGTGTGTAAAAAGATGTAACTCATGTGCTCCACGTGACATTGTTCATCTGATTGTGAATGATGTAACTTCTTTTCACTGTTATGTAAATTGTGTGTAAAAAGATGTAACTCATGTGCTCCACATGACATTGTTCATCTGATTGTGAATGATGTAACTTCATTTCACTATTATGGCAATTGTGTGTGACAAAAATGTAACTCATGTGCAATATAAGGAGAACAAGAAGTGCTGTAGCTCCTGAAAATGAAACTCAGCATACAGAACATCAAAATGAAACTGCAAGGATACTGAACACAGAAGAACCGATTCTAAGGCTAGAATATCATCAGCCAACAACAAGCAAAAAAAGAAAAGCAGCCCCAAAAAAGAAGAAAGCAGAATCTGAAGAATCAGACGATGAATGTGAAGAAGTGGAGACAAGCAACAGGCCGCCTTCTGTAAATCTAAGAACAAGAGTAGGACCAGCCCCTTTCATAAAGTTGATTAAACAATCAGATGAAAGAAAAAAAGCAGCAGTTGAAAGGATTGGATTTGGGGGATTACTGCATTTAAACTTTGACAGATTCTGTGGAGATTTGGTTGCGTTTTTGTTGAAGAACTTTAGACCAATTTCAGGACAGCTACAACTTGCCAATGGTGAGCTGCTAGATATTGAAGATGAAGATGTCAAAGCTGTATTTGGTCTGCCAAAGGGAAAGATAGAAGTTCAAGAAGCGAATGCGAAGAATGAAACTGAAGAGTATACCCAACTGCTACAAGAATGGAGAGAAGAATGGGGGATTGATAAAGGAAGCCCTCAAACATAAAAAATGATTGAAAAAATAGTTGCAGATACTGACTCTGGAGACAGATTCATCAGAAACTTTGTGGTCTTTAAAGTCTCTTGCCTGATCAGAGGAAACCAGAGTGTTAACAACAATTTTAAAATATTGATGTCTTTGGTTAATGTATCTGATATACCAAACATGAATTGGTGCAACTACACAATAAGATCGTTGATGGATGCAGGCGAGGAATGGCAAACTAATCAATCAAAGATGTTCAGTGGACCATTACTGTTTCTAATGATATGTTACTTTGACCGAGTACAATTCAAAGGCCAAATTATGCAGAGTGCTTATCCAACCATTAGAATCTGGGACAAGGAGAGAATTGACAAAAGAGTCAAAGAAGAGAGAAAGGTGGGCTTTGGTCTGGGAAAGGTGACAAAGCGAATAATAACAGTCGAAGAGGAAGACAAAGATGAAGAGGAAGCAGGAAAAGAAGATGAAGAAAATGAAGATGCTGAAATCTTGTCAAAGGAGGTAAATTTTAATACAACACTTTGTGATCTTAAAGACTATTTTATGTAACTTAAATCAATTGTTACATAACTATAGGATTTTTCCAAGGAGCCTGTAATCTTAATTCAATAACTATGTATCTTATGTATTATTAAACAACTATTATTATAATTTTTATAGGATTGTGTGAAGGAGATTATAGCTGTGGCACAAAAGTTTAGTGATGCTTTTGTGGAATTCTCAAAGTTGCCGTCAACCATTGCAAAAAAGTTCCCCAATTCTGATATCTTGAAGAAGATATACTTGACCACAGCTGATTACTTCATCAATCAAGCAAATGGAAATCAAGCAAAAGGAACTCAACGATTATCAGAGAAGTGTGTCCTTGAGGAAGATGATGACTTCTTTAATGAGCCTGGAGTTATGGAAGCCCTTGAGAAACTAGAGAAAGCAGCATTCCTGAAATTTTCAATGCCTTCATTTGACATAGGAATTGAGTTTAACATGTCACAGGGTGAAGGCACATCAAAAGTGGATGTAGAAGCTGCGAAGACTGAAACTGCTCCTGATGTACAAGATGTGATGACTGAAACTGTTGATGGAGTGGAAGATGTGATGATTGACACCATTGCTGGAATGACTGAAACTGTTTCTGTCGATGGAGAAGTGAATGGTAATGTTGAAGTGGCTGAAGTGGCTCAAATGGCTGTTGAGGAAGAAGTGACTGGAGATGATGGAGAAGTAAACAAGGAAATTGATAATAAGTCAGAGTAAGTTTTATTTTTTTCTTATGTAATTCATCAATACTTTTAACTAATAAAATAATCTTAACATTATCTTATTTTTTACAAAGGAGTGTTGGTCTAAAGCCATATACCAGAAAGAGAAAGCTTCGAAAGTTAGGTGATTCAATTGTCAATTACAGATCACCTTTTCTGAAGAATAATAGAAGGCTATGCAAGGAATTTAGCAGAGATGAAAAGATTGTTCTTGATTGGGGATTCTCAAAAGAAGTTGAAAAGTAAGAAAAACTAATATTATATAATGTATTATTTCAATATAAACACCATTTGATAATTAATTGTTTCAATTTGTTTGAAAAATATTATTCTGTTAGAGACTGTGTCTATCTAGATGAGGAAGGTGTGTTTATAACTCATGAAGAAATTCAGACACTTCAAGAAGGAAATGTAGACAACTCAATAATTGATGCATTCACTAAGATTCTGAATGACAGAGAAGAATCAAATAAGTCTACAAAGCGTGCCTTCATTGCGTCAACCCAAGTATATGTATGTGTATTTTTTTCTTGTAAAATTGTAAAATAAAGTAGAGAACTTCAGTTTCTATATTTTCCTAAGAGTGACTCAATTTGAATGTGCAGGCAATGTTTGATTTTGCATCTCGTGACCCAATAGAAAATATGGTTGATAGATTGCAAAAAGAAATAAATGATGCTGCAGCAGATGTCACAAAATTAGATATGGTAAAATGTCATTAATATTTAATTTTACATAATTCAAGTGTAAAAACACAAGTCAAATTTGGTAATCCTTATATATATATTCTTAAATGTAAATCAGTGTGAAACAATATTAGTAATAGAAAATGTTTAGCATAATATGTAACTGCAGCGTTTGACTAATGTAAGTTCTTATATGAATTATGTAAACTCTATTGTTTTATGTAAGTCGGTGTATAAGATATATTGTTAAAAATGTTTTTAAAACAAAGGGTGAAAAATAATACCGTAGTATGTAACTACAGAGCTGAGGGATGTAAGTTCTGATATGAATTATGTAGATTCTGTATTATTTTATGTAACTGAAGATGAATTTATAATAATGCAGATACTGTTTCCCATTCACAATCATGAGCACTATTATATCTACTGCTTTTACACAACAAACAACATTGTTGATGTAATTGACAACCGGATGCTTCCAGATGGGGTGAGCGTTGAGGACAAATATGGCAAAACTTTGAAAAAAATGGTAAAAATTGAATTCAATGTTTTTGGAAATAAGAAATCATATTATTCCATATTATTTTAATTCATTAATGTTACTTCTTGTATAGCATGAAGGATTCAAAGCCTTCTGTGAGAAAGTGCAGATTTCAAGCACAACAAGTTGGGTCCCCAGAATCTTATACATGCCATGGAGACATAATAGCAATCACGTTGACTGTGGAGTATATACTTTGCGTCACTTGGAGACGTTTCGTGGGCAAGGACATGTATGGGATTCTGGATTTGCAACTGCTGCCACAAATGATGGAATAAAAGCTCAAAATGAAACAATCCAAAAGATGAGAGTGATGTATGCAGCTCAAGTTTTACTGTCAAAATTTAACAAAGAAAGGGAAAACATTTTGAAAAAAGCAAAAGACTACTTGAAGATGTAATTAATTAATATGATGGGGTTACAGTCAAAACATTTCATGGTTTTATGGAGGGTGTGGTGGTATGCGTTATGCAGTAGTTATCTGTTTGTATGCAGTAGCTTGTAATGCAGTGGTGTGGGTTTTAGACATTTCTTGGTTTTATGCAGTAGCTTGAAATGCACCTCAAAAGTTATCTGTTTAGTATGTGGAAAACTTATATGTTGGATTATGATAAGTTGATGTAAACTAGTTTGTTTTATATGTTTTATGTCGAATCCAACGGCTGAGATTCATTCTCACTTCTCACCTAAAGCGTTCTTCTCACTTTATATAACTTATGTACCCTTGCATTAGCTAATCAAGTAATACACATCTGATGTAAACAATGAGTACAACAAATGTAAGTCACGTTAAAGAACTATGTAACTGAAGGGAAAAACAATATAACTACTGTTACTGAGCTGTGACTGCACAGATTACATTCTGTAATCTAAATAAATGTAAACAAACTTGATTGCGTATTGTATTTATGGCAATGTGTATGACATGTAAACAAACTGTAAAGACAATATAAATTCTATAAAATCAAATGTAACTCAAGTTGCAACAAAAGTAAAAGTTCACAATATGATATGTAAACTCCTCAAAGCATTTGGTTTTCCAAACATGTGTGACTATAACTAATTCTGCATTTGGTTCAAAGCATTGGATTGCATGAAGTATGGAGCAAAAACTTGTGGAGATCCAGACACATGCATTAAAGACGTCATTCCTCCAATTGGATGAGCAAGTACATAACCTTGTGGAACCATGAAATTAACAGTGTCCTACAATCAAACAAAACAAAAATTAATGATAAGAAAATATGCATAAAATACATAAAAAAAATAAACAAATACCTGTACAACAGATTGAGCAACTGCTTTTGAATTGGAGGCAACATTTTGGGATTTCGAACGGCGAGCTTTGACTATTTTGCACTGTTTCTCAACAATACTTCTCTTTCGGGTATTTCGCTGACCTTTAGAACGAGACCGTGGAGGATCCAATATTGTCCTAGAAGCAGATTCATCCACAACAGAAGCATCTCTTTGTGCATCTAAAAAATGTTTAATAGAGTCGTATCCTTGATCACATACTCGTCTAGCTTCAGGAAAACCAGCACTTGCACTCAATACTGAGTTGAATTTCCTAGTCATTTGCACTCTCCAAACAGAATCTTCCAATATTTTGCCAGACATAATATCGGTTCCATGCGTAACAGAAAGATTAACATTTGGCAGAATGGCAGCCTTTGTCCATCTAGAGAGTATATAAACTTGGGGAATACATTTGACACAATGCACATTATATATACGCAAAATGTGTCTACAAAAAATGCCAACTTCAGAAAACATCTTACAAGTGCATGTCACTGTGTTGTCATGCCGATTAAAAGTAACACTGTGTCTAATCATATCTACCCCATTCAACCAAACATGATACACATACTCATGACAATTCTGTGAGATTAATTTAAAAAAAATGTGACATACCCTTCAAATATTGTTCTTGGAACACTTTGAAAATCTCAAGGGTATACACATCTCTCGCATGAGTCAACAAAGTGTCTTGTAGCAATACCATCTCAACGGTGCCTTCAGAACATCTAAAATCATGACCATTCTCATCTAACCTCCATTCATCAACAACATCACAAAACATTTTGTAAAAATCACATAATGTTGCAGTCTTGGTAAGTCTTCTAGATATAGATCTATTTGTAGATTCACTTCTTTGAGAGGATAAAACACCACCAGAGAAGTAATCCTTCGAAAAAACAGGACACCACTTTTCTTTATGACTGTACAGCCTCTTCAACCATGTGTTGTCACTGCATTCATAAACTGTATTCAATCTGAAACAGATTTGAAAAGAAGACAAGATTACATATTAAGATATATATGTTACACCAAATGATTGAAAAAGTTACATAAAATAATCACGAAGTTACATCAGATAACAATAACTTACTCATTCCAATAGAAATCAAACTCTGCAACAGTATCACATCGTTTGACAACATAATCAAAAAGAGAAACAAAATTTATCTTCTTGCGTAGATGCATGATGTGTTTCTTTGAATTCTCATCTATATGCCAAGTGCAGAGTCTATGTCTCGCCCCAGGAAATACAGATTTGATAGCCGTTGCCATGGAAAATGACTGGTCTGTCATGAAACTGATGGGGTGTTTACCACCCATAGATTTCAGAAAAGTCTGAAATAACCAAACAAAAGACTCCACCCTTTCATTTAGAATAAAGCCACAACCAAACATTATATTTTTACAGTGGTGATTCATACCAACAAATGGACCACAGATCATATCATACTTGTTAGTCCTGTAAGTTGTATCATGCACAACAAGATCTCCAAACCTCTCATAATCAGATCTCATTTGACCATCTCTCTAGAAAAAACAAGTCAGTATACCATCAACCAACTCAAAATCAAAGAAAAAATCACATTCCACTTCAGCCCTTTTCTTAAATATACCAATCAAAGTGTTCGAATCAGTACCATCAAACGTTTTACTTCTTTCAGATTCTAGAACGTTATAAGCATCACGTTTCGTGAATCCAAGAGCACTAACACCACCAGCCTGTTTTTGAAGCATCCTGTGAACATCTGAAACCTTTGTTCCACTCTCCTTCATCAACATAATAAATTCAAGATACTCACGATCAACGCCTCTATGTGATTTCAGCAGGTGTCTTTGACCAATTGCACAGAAAGCATGGTTGTGATCAATAATATGCTTTGAGACATTCCATTCACCATCACTACTAATAGAAAATTGTAACATCGCTTTACAACCAGTACGATAATCTAACTTGGTATACATTTTGTTTTCGGTGCCCTTTTGTAGTTTCTTCCCTTCTTTCCAACAACAATAAGACTTCATAGTCAAACTTACATTCCCACTCCTAAAACTCTGTCTGCATCTACGAATACCAAATCCATTTTCAAAAGCATGATCATTGTAAAGTTTGTAAGCATCCTGTTCACAATTGACACTAAGCCCAACAAGTGATTTACTCTCAGTTGACTGGTAAACATTTTCCAATGAATCTGCCAATTTATAAAGCATATATATGAAAAACAATCAACAACTACATACTGTCACAATGTTACATTAAATTAAACAACAGTTACATATCCGAGAACACAAGTTACACACATTTGAGACGAGAGTTAAATACCATCGAACGGAATTACAACCAAAATGAAATGAAGTTACATGACAGAATAAATACCTCTGCTAAGAAGATATAACAATTTAGAAGCTTTTGAAATAGTATCTTCTTCTCCTGAACATAAAATCAAAACTATGAATACTCATACAATCGAAATTCTCAAGCAATGGTATAAAACAGAGAACATGATCAACTTCGAAAAACATGAAAAATTCATAAAACATAAACCAGCTGATCAATTCATAAAACACGAAAAATTTATACTTACCAATCAATTCAACATCAACCAGCTGATCAACTTCGAAATCATTATCATCAATTGAATGATTAATGTTATCGTGTGTATCAGAAGCAAAAAGAGCAGAATCGTCGACAGAAAAATCCATCTAAGAACCTTAGAAACGAATCGAAGGGATCGCAGAGCGGAGAGAAATCAGTTATCCATGATCTGCAGGTTCGATTAATGAAAAGAGCTGATCTAATTTTTTAATAAGCAAAACGACGCCGTTTACGACCGGTATACCATGCGGATGGTAGACCGGTCATAGGGTATAATTTGCGAAATGGGAGGGAGTATTGACTAAAATTACTCGCTTATAAACTCCGCCTTAGACAAGATTCTGCCATTCTGGTCTCAAATTCTCAGGTACTTTTTGAAGTATTAACAGTTAAGAATTTACCCCGTGCTGGGGCGCCGGTCTTATTTTGTTCTTCACATCTCCATAGTCCATCTGCAGTCATTACTAGTTCTGGGCAATCCCCGGATCCACGCCGGACGAAACCCGCCAAACGCACCACTCCTGCCAACTCCAATAGGTTGAAGATATGCCTTTATTTTCTCGTTTTTTCAGTACCATCTTTTCAACATAGATGGGTGGGTTGGAAAAAACCTAATTGGCAGCTTAAACACCAAATTTCTAGAAGTGTCCGCATTCAAATTCCATTTAGCAAAACAGTAGTTTTTTGCAGCTCTTCTCTTGGCAAACACATTGAAATCTTCAGCATCTTCACCAATGCGATTAGAGAGGAACACTTATCACATTCTTCTACTTCAGGAAAACAATGTAGTTTATCAACTTTAGGAAAACTTTAAAATGACACTTATAAATGACACTGTTTATGAGCTGCCCTACGCCCCTACCCGATTTATATTGCATTTCTCTTTTCTTGTTCATCCCAAATATGCACAAACGAGCTCACATGTTTTGAGATCTGAATCTAATTTTATTGGTTCAGTTTTACTCAGGAAGGCTGAAAATGACTGATTCTAGAGAAGAGTCTCCAGACTGGCTTCGATCTTTTCAGGTAAGTTGGCAGAAATCTACTGCTGCCCCCTTAGAATTGAGAGTATTTTCTGCTAGAGCTTAAACTTCTTTTACTGAGTGAGTAATGGCGTTTCAGTGTATTGTTTACTTCAAACTATAGTTGCATTTTGTGCAATTGGCTTAGAATTGATTGCATTTGGTGCACTTGGCTTAGAGTGGATTGCATTTTGTGCAATTGGCTTAGACTCTTAGAGTTAATTGCATTTCATTTAACTCCGAGAAAATCCGCTTAAATTATGTAGCAGCCAGGGCTGAGCTGTTTTGTTATCTTTGATTCATAGGTCATGTTTGTTGGTGCAATGCATGTTTGGTTGAGGATTTTTTGGTTTTGCAAACTATGGATGCTCATGTCTTTGCTTTGAGTTGGTATCTTGCGTGTTCATTGAGCATTTAATTCTATAACAGACACCTACTCTAACAGCTCTGTCTTCGGGGTCACCATCTCCATTAAGTGATGACCTTGTTAGTGGTGATGATGACGATGATGATGGACTGAGTCTCGGAAAACTGTTTTCCATAGAGGAACCCAATAAAGTTAAGACTAAAAACAATCTGAATGGGGATAAGTTATTAAGCAAGATGCCTTCTAAAAGCAAACTTCCCAATAAGAAGGAAATGGAGCATATACAAGGAGGAAAGAGAAAAAGAGAGAGTCAACCTAAAAATGAAGGTAGGTGTTTACATTTGTGCTTCCTGAATGTTGTCTCTCTGCATTATTTCTCTCGAAGCAGAAAAAGATGACAAGTGTTCTATCTGATTGTATAGGTGGTGATGACGATGATTTCAAGGTTTTTACCAAGAGAAAAGCTACAAAAGTGCCTGTTTCTGTTGAGGTCAACAGTGCTTTGCCAATTATATTAAGTTGTTATTTGCAATAATGACTTGATCTTGAGTGTTATAGGCAGTAATGAATTGAGTCAATTGACTTTGACTTTGAGCGTTATAGGTGAAGTATTATAGGCCAATTATATTAAGTTCATGTAACGGACTGGTCTGGCCATACTTCTGACAATAATGCACAATTTTTGTAGTTGGTGATTTGGCTGAATCTAAGCATTAAACTCATACTAGTAATTATTTATTTCCATCTCTATAGCCTGCTAGTCCATACTCCCTCTATTCTGAAATAATAATCCATTATGAAAATACAACTTTATAATAAATAAGTGGTCATTTAGTAATCCAGTCCTCATTAAAGGCAATGAAGGAGAGATATAATCTGTATTAGGAGGGGCATCTTTGGAGTTAAACCCCCCCCCCCCCCCCACCAAAAAAAAAAAAAAAAACTCACTTCAACCTTGTACTATTATTTCAGAACGGATGGACTATACGCTAAGCTTTTTGGATAATGATATACTATCCTCCGTTTATTTTTAGTTGCAACATGGAAGATTTTACACTATTCGCATACTCTACTTTATATTTTATTTATTAATGTATGAGATTTTTTTTTGAAAAAATATATTTGAATTAGTCATTACAAATTTTCATAATCTGTTTTTTATATATATTTTACTAATAGAGAATTAAATATAATGACGGTCAAAGTTGTGCATTTGCAAGCATGAAAATGGGAATGTTGAAAGTTGAAACAAAAAAAGAACGGAGAAAGTATAAAAAAGGAGCAAGTGTGAAGACTGTCTCCTTACCAATTTACCATCATTTGGAACATCAACATGAACACAATTAATTTATTTTTGCTGGCATTGACTATTCTGATTACTATTGGGAATTGATAAAATCATAAAACTCTCAACCCATAAAGCACAAGCCATCAAATTTACGGATGATTAACTGGCTTCTCACATTTCTTCCTCACTTTTTTTCGTATTGGGTCCTAGTTGTGTTGCAATGTTAAAGAATAATCACAGAACGAAGTAGATGATACATTGTTCTTGGAGGCATTTTAGCAGCATCCGAAGTTTTTACCATGTTTGTGTGACCTTCAACATTTATTGCTCTTTTACAGGAACCTATGCATCCACCCTTGGATCTTTCCTCCGACTCTGAGTCTTGTCCTGATACGAGTCCTGTAAGAATGGGTAATATCCTTGACAAAGAATTGCATGCACATAATGAAGTTCAAGACATGAAGTCTGACGCAACAAAAGATCTAGTATTCCTTGACAGTGATGAAGAATCTGCACCAACCAAGGATTTGAAGCTGCAATCTTCAAAAAAACAAATAGGAAAAGAAAACCGCACACCAAAGAAGAAAGTAGAAAGTGAGAAAAATTTTGGTAAGTAGCCATGTCTAGATTTTTTTAATATTGCAGTGACCCTTATTAAGTACATGGTATTGGGAATGAATCTACAAGGCTGTAGGAACTCTGACATTTTCATAATTTAACTTGTACCTGTTGAACTCTCTAGGAATCTTATCTTTTCTTACCCTGCGTTTTATTTATTTTCTGGTTTTATCATTTAGACGTTGGAAATAAAGGGAGCATGGATGCAAATGAGGAAGATATTCTGGAGAAGCATAATGGACCACATGTGAGATATGGAGTACTTGTACAACATTTAAGGTTGACTCTGGAGATAGTAAACTAGCCAGTCTTTGCTGTGATATATTTGTGTAGGTTTCATCTTCAAGGATCCCTTTGTTACTTCCTGAGAAAGTACAAAGGACAAAGGTTAGTCTCAGCAGGCCTTAGCTGATTATATTGGTGATGTAAATATGATTAGCAGTCTTCATCTTTTTCCCTTGTTAATGTCACCATTTTGTTGTTTGTAAAGGCACTTGTGGAGTGTGATGGTGATTCCATAGATTTGAGTGGTGATGTTGGTGCTGTTGGACGAGTAGTGATTTCAGATAATCCCTCTAGAAGCAATGAAATGCTTTTGGATCTGAAAGGCACGAATAAGTTTCTCTAAAATCTAATGCTAAAGTTACTGATTTGCGGGTCCTATATAACCATGATCTAGCATTATGAGATTGGGTGTCGTAGTTACATGTTCTAGTTACACATGTTTCATGCCTCTCATGCAACATAACATTGTAGCAATGCAGCACTCTTTCATCTTTTCATTTATGAATCTCGTTTAAAATTTCAGGAACTATTTACAAAACAACAATAGTGCCTTCCCGGACATTCTGTGTGGTACACGATTTCCCCCTTCAAGCTATATTATTTATAACTTTATTTTTTCCATAATTCTCACATTTAATACACAAATATCAATAACATTTTCTGACACGCTTCTCTTCCTATAGGTAAGCTTTGGTCAATCAGAAGCAAAGGTGTGTTTGTTAGAGATGCTTTGCTGATTAGTTTTCCTTTCCACAACCATGAAAATGAAATTCATATATCATTTTATTTTAGCATTGTTAGATTTTTACCTTGTGAGCGCAATGACCTACATGACCTTTACCTACATAATCTTCTTTAGCATTTGTAAGATTCACTTTCTTTTTTAGTTGCTCCCACAATAATGTTCTCTTTCCTAATTAAACACCAGTTATCTTTCAACCTTGCTTCTTTTTCGAACAGGCATGCTCCACCCTTTCTCTTATAACCCTTTCTCCACCAACTAATTTGATCATTTTTTACTGTTATTTTTTCTCCACTCATAAATGCTACACAGTACTTCCAACATTATAAGGGTATTCCAGTCATATTCTAGCCTATCATTGTCTTGACTTTGTAGTATGTGCTTGAACAACTAAAACGCTGCTTCAAAAGGAACAGAGGGAGTAACTCACATGAACATTGCTTTCTTACAAAAATGTGTCAAATTGTGTCTTATTTTGTGGAATGGAGGGAATGCTAACTTCCATACGCCAGCTATGCACTGTCTCTAAGGCATAGGGAGCAGCACAGGAAGCAACATTAGCTTACCTTTTTTACTGGCTGTTCTGATCTTGAGTCATAGCATTCTGTATTTCTTCTTTCACTGACCATTAGATTTAAAAAGTGGCTGAAATGAAATTCACATAATACAATCGTTATGGTTGATTGATTATTCATGTTACCTATTAATCATTGTGATTTTACTAGATCGAAGCCATCATGAATGACTTCATCCAATTGACGCCTCTATCTAATGTTCATAATGCTGAAACAATGGTTGAAGGTCTGGGTTTTCTGTCGATTCATCTTTTTTTCCTGAGGTGTAAAAGATATTTAATCTTATGAATATATTCCATTTAGGAACTCTTGATGGGTATTCATTTGATTCGGATATGGAGGTTGACAATATGCCAAAAAAGGCTGGTGAAGACAAGCAAACAGAAACCACCGAGGATGAAAAAAAGGGAAAAACAAAACGAAAAGCCAAAAAATCAGTGGTGAGCATAGTTTTTTTTTTGAGAAAAGATATCATCCTTATTTTTTTTGCTCCATAAAATTTTTGTTTTTCTTTAGGCGGCTGAACAAAAGAAGGGAAAAATTGGAGGGGCCAAGCTACCAAAAAAATTGAAAAAGAAACCACAAGTTACAAAGAAAAACAAGAAAAAGTGAGATGATGTTTTGACCTTGGTGCATACAATATTTGTGTTACATGTATATATTCTTCTGATCTTCTCTTATATAGTTATTATATCCATATATTCTACTCACTTAGTAATATTCCTTCGTTTCACATGTATTTCTTCAACCTTACATAGCGTGATGGGATATTTCTATAGTTCTGGGGGAGGTTTGAAAGAATCTACACCTGTGTTTTATGTGAACTTATTACATACTGCTACATCGTTGTAACTGTGTTGGATTTAATGAAATGACGTTTTAGTTTTTGATTAGTTTTGTCACTTTGTGACTTGTGTCAGCTTGGTGCAAGTTATTAATCTTCTCATACAAGGTAAAATACGGAGTAATAAATACAGCTGGTACGGTGCTTGAGATCCAATTGGTGTGGAGGCTAGGGATGGACTCGGGCCGGGTCAACCGGCCCGGGCCCGGTACTGTTTCGGCCCGGCCTGGCCCGGCCCGGTACCTGGGTCATAATCTGGTTCGGGCCACCTGGCCCGGTACTGTTTCGGGGCGGTTCTCGGGCCTCAAAAACAATGAACCGGCCCGGATGGGCAGGGCCCGGTTCGGGTCAATTTTTTTTTTGTTTTTCAAAATTTGGGAAATGTAATGGGTTGGGCTGGGTGTTTTCGATGGGTTTGGGGTGTGTGTGTGTGTGGGGGGGGGGGGGGGGTAGGAAGTAATTACAAAAAAAGGTAGTTAGCTCGAGGCCCGACCCGAACCATCATGAGTCCATGCCTAGTGGTAGGGATGGACTCGGTTCGGGCTTTGAACCGGTCGGGCCTCGGTTCAAGGTATGGGAGGCCTGGAACCAGCCCGGATAACCCCCGGGTCCGGGCCGGGCCTCGGTTCTATTTTTTTTGTTTTGTTTGGTTTTTCCTAGTTAACCCCCAACCCTCCCCCTCACCCCCAAACCAACCCTAACCACCTCAAATATTCCAAAATACCCAGCCCAACTCAAAAACTTAAAAAAATTCAAAAAAAAAAAAAATGGTCGGGCCTGAACCGGTCAGGCCGGTTCACCTATTGAAGGGCCCGAGCCCGAACCGAGATCCCACCGGGCCGGGTGGCCCGAACTGGCCAACCAACCGGTTCACCGGGCCGGTCCGGGCCCGCACAGTAGCGGACCAGTCCGGTTCCGGGCCGATTGGCCTGGCCCGAGTCCACCCCTACCTGGTAGGGGTAGATTCGGTTCGGGCCACTCGGCCCGTGACCCGGCCTGTCCTGCTACTGTGCGGGCCCGAGACCGGCCCGGTCTGGTGGTCCGGGACCGGGTGTGGACCCGAACCGGGGGGTTAGGGCAGGGCGGGCTCGATTCCGAAAAAAGTTGACTTGGCTCGGCCGGGTCGGGCACAGGTCCAACGGTCAGATTTTAAAAAAAAATTGTTTTGGACTTTTAATCAAACTAGCCGTTGGGAGGTAGGCTGGGGACTACCCAAATGGCTATATAGCCGTTGGGTGGGTTGCAGGGGGGTCCGGGCGGTTTGGGGGCTGGGGGTTGGTTAAAAAAACTATAAATACTCCTAATCAGGGATGAACTAAACCGGGATGGCCCGGCCCGGAACCGGCCCGACGCGGAACCGGCCCGACCCGCTACTGTGCGGGCCTGGACCGGACCGGGACTGGTTGGCCGGTTCCGGGCTTTTAGCCCGTTTGGGTAGGTCGGGCGGGCCGGGCTCGGGCCCAGGTTTGGGCGAACCGGCCCGGGCGGTTCGGGCTGGGCCCGGGTCAATTTTGTTATTTTGGTTTTTCAATTTTTTTCTTTAACTATGGTAGGACTGGGTGTTTTGGGGAGGTTTGGGGGTGAGGGTGAGGGGGGGGGGGGGGGGGGAGGTCGGGGGATAACAAGAAAGCAAAAAAAAAATTAGACATTGAACCGGGCCCGGCCCGGCCCGGCCCAGTTAGGCCCGGACCTGGTATCAACCCGGGCCGGTTCTGGGCCCAAGGATTTGCAAAAAAGCCCGCCCGGGCCCGGCCCGAGTCCATCCCTATTCCTAATCTTAAACATTTTTCCATCTCTTCTCCAACTCTCTACTCTCTAATTATCTTCATCTTCTCAAACTCTCTACTCTCTAATTATCTTCATCTTCTCAAAGGCTCCTCAAGGTCCCCCAAACGGCTATATAGCCGTTGGGTGCTTGAATCAAGGGTGTCCCGGGGGGTGGGGGTGGGGTGGGGTACAAAAAATTCTATAAATACTCTTATTTTATAACATTTTTATACACATCTTCTCCAACATCAAATCTCTAATCTCCATTCTCCATCTTCATCTCCATCTATTGTAGTATTTGTAGAATTATTATATCTACCATTTTTAAGATGGAAAGTCAATACTAGGTTAGTGGAGGCAAATTTTGTCCGTCACTCTTATTCCAACTTCGTTTTATGCGGTCCTATTTAAAAAATGCGTATATAGTTTACAAACTACAAAGTATATACTTAGGGCTATGTAGGGATGGACTCGGGTCGGGTCAACCGGCCCGTAACCGGCCCAACCCGTTACTGTTTGGGCCCGGCCCGGTACTTGGGTCATCTAGCCGGTTCAGGCCACCCGGCCCGGTATTGTTCAGGGGCGGTTCCCAGGCCTCCCAAATCACGAACCGCCCCGGCCGGTTCGGGCCTGATTTGGGCCAATTTTTTTTTTTGTTTTTCAAAATTTTTTAAAGGTAAATGGGTTGAGTTGGGTGATTTGGAGGGGTTTGGGGTGTGGGGGGTGGGGTGGGGGGTAGGAAGTAATTAGAAAATTAAAAAAAAAACAGGATACCCGACCTCAAGATTCCAGAAAAAAGCCCTGTCGGGCCTGGCCCGAGTCCATGCCTAGCCCTATGCGGTCCAAAGTTTGATGATGCATAAAATTAGAGACAAATTTTTGAAAGTACAAAAATTACAAACTTGCAAAAGTTTTAACTTTCAAACTTTTAAGCTTGTTGAGTATAAACTTTTAAAATTACAAAATTTAGATGAATTTAAACTTTTATTCATCTTAATCTTATGGAATAATAAGACTATGAATTGTTCTAGACTTTTAACCCCGTAAACTAAAAGAGTTTCGTTGTCTTTTAGTTTTCTTCTATCATCATCGTATTATCGTACTCTTCTTAATAAATTTTAATAAATTTGGTTTAATAAAAAAATACCCCATAAGACATTCTCTATCCTTTTAACCTTAAAGATCTCTGCGGATTTTTTCTTTCGATTTCTGGTCATAACAATTCACAAGTAGACATGCATCAACTCCATCAAGTTCAAGCACCTGCTTACTGTTCTAGATTGGTACTAGGTCCGAAGTATGTGGAATCCTCTAGTGTACAAAAATGGGTGTTGAACTAGCTGGGTCTATGTGCTCTGGTTCTTGTCTTCCGAAGTAGTTTGAAGTTTGTACATAAACAATTTCAACATATATGATACACCGAATTGAAACTTCCAATAACAAAATTGAAAGTCGGAGACACGGGGTCCCTACTTTTTTATATCTCTAATCTCTAATTAATACAAGTATAAAACTAATAAAAAAATTGATCCAATTCTTCATTTACTAATGACGAATCATTTGAATTAACACCTGAACTACTCCCGGTACTCTAGGTTTCTTTAAATTTGGGTACAACATTAAAATATCTTTTCATCCTAAATCGTATAAAATTGAAAATAACATTTATAAATACATGAATTTATTAATTTAGGGGGTGTTTGAAACTGATTCCGATTCTGCTTCTTTTTTAAAGCAGAAGCAGAATCATAATCAGTTTTCAGAAGCTGGTCACCCCAGCTTCTAAAAAAACTGATTCTAGGAGTAAATTAGAGCACCAAAATCACTTCTAAACTTTTATCCAAACACTCCAACTTCTGCTTCTGCTCCCTGAAGGAGTAGAAGCAGTTTTAAGAATCAAATCCAAACACCCCTTTAATCTTACATTAAAAAAAAGATATGCAAAGAAAAGCATAAGAGAAAAAAAAAATCGGGCGACTGATGTGCTTATATTTTACACTTTTTAGGCTTAGTTTGTTGATAATTTTAGTTATTAAAGTTGTACTTTTGTACATATTTTTGTTATTTGTCGTTAATTTGTATTAGTGCAATCCTATGCGTGTATTTTCTGGTACATTTGATGTTATTTGGATACATTTAGCATGAAAAATGAAGAAAATAAAAGTTCAAGTTGGAGGATAACAAAAGTGAAATTTCCTTCAAAGAAAATAAGGAGTAAATTGGAGAAAAATAGCAAAAATTAAGAAAGGTGGAGCTAGGATTTGAGATCTAGTCATTTGGTCAAAGAAGGACATACTCAACCAATGAGCTAAATGAACCAACTTGAAGTTTTTGTTGGAAATTCGTATACATTGTTTAAGCCCAGCACTGAAAAAAAGAAAAAAAGGAAGAGGACGGATTTCGAACCCACGATCTCATATTTGGAATAAGCACCTGTCACCGCTGCACTACTCCGTTCTTTTTTTGTTTAAGGTCGTTTTTTGTGTAAATATACACTGAATAATTAATTTTATATAATATATAATATATATAGGTATTTTTTTCTAGGTGCACGAGGTCCCGGAACCCCGTGGGACCCTTATTGGGTCCGCCTCTGGTGGCCAGAAGTATATATCTAATCATACTAACATTTTGTCGGTATACTAAAATTCCGACATAATATTGGTGTATTCGAAATTTTTACATACGAACATTTTGTTATAAATTTTTATGCAAGATTACTGTATATAAGTACTAGTGTAACACCCGGGGCATGCCCCGGTAGTGACACTTTGATAAGTACTACCTCTGTCCCATTTTATGTGTCTCACTTTGATGATTTTAAGTGTGTGATCTACTTTTGTTTTGATTTGGGAAGTAACCTCCAAATTTAAAGAAATTTCTTTATGGACTTTATCTATTTTTGTTTTGATTTAGGAAGTAACCTTCAGGTTACAAATAAATTGGAAGTGATAGTTTTTTAGATTCTTGTAACTCTACAAAACACTTCAAATGATCAAATTTTCAATTCTCTCACATTGAGAGGTTTTGAAGGATCACAAATTAAAAGAAATTTTAGTTGAACTCAAAATGAATGTAAATTCAAATATTATACATTTTAAACAATTTTAATTATAATTTCTCTGTAACCTCCCCTCTCATCTCAAACTCCAAACATACACTTAAATGTGTTTCATACAAAAAATCAAGTAGAAACAAAATACAATGTTCAAAATGGTTATTATCTAAACAATAAAAAATACGTTGTATATGAAATTGGCAAAATGTTAAAAAATATATTTT